AGCAATGTCAATCAAATTTACCAGATTTTGCTTTAAAGATGAGAAAAATGGGATAGATTCACAAAGGCCTCTTGTCTTAGAATAGGAAGCTTGATAAACCCTTGTTGAATCTCTCTTAGAGAGGCCTTGGAGTGTAATGATCCGTTATACTGACTAAAATCAAAGTCACTGTTCCAATGACAAATCAGACAAACCCAGAAACTCTCATTAAATAATCTAAAAATTAATCATTGGAATAATCAACCATCTAGTATCTCTGGGCAATGCAATACCCCATAATAGCTAACAGGTTAGTATAGCAAAGAAGAGAAATAATCCAGCAAAAGGACAAATTTTGACTTCACAACTTGCAAAGAAATTTTTTAGTTAGAGGGGAGCTAAAGGATCGCCTGGCCCACGCTCATCACTGTGCTTCTCAGAGCTGCTTCAGGGTTAGACGTGAGGGGGCTTGGCCGCAGAGCTCCGTGGCCCCATCCCTTCCAAGAAGCTCAAATTTTATCTCTTAATCCACGCAAGAGTTCAGTTGAGGAAATGGTTTCTCTGGTTAAAAATAATTTGAAAATCACCTATTAGCTGAAACCACTCCTTTCATAAATGAGTAAAGTGAATGCCAGAATAATTAAGGAATTTTTAATTTAGTGATGGACTGGAACCCTGACCCCGGTTCACGTCTTTCTCCCAGCGCTCTGTCCACACCATGCCATGCTGCCCCTCACATGGAGGAAGCAAGTCAGGGAAGAATTCCCATGTGTTTGGAGTTGGGCCTTTTTGGGGAGAGGTTGGCTTTGAATGGCTATAATGAAAAACCGATGAAGCCAAAGCAGTGTGAGGAGAGGCATGAAGCTATGTTGGAAGCAGAAACACAGTCTGCAATTACACTCTCTGTACTCTTCCCAGTCACACTGAAGGGTTAGGTCACCATCCGGAACCTGAAAGGGTCATGGGGGTGGATGGAAAGGCCTAGTTCCATTTTCTTATGTCATTAAATGTATTGCTATTAAGATTGCGAGAAGATTTCAGTAGCATGCTTGGTGAAAACTTGCTGACATTAATGACTCAAATTCTCAGAGCGACTGCAAGGAAAATGGTGTCATCACTGTCATTCAAGACATTTAAGATGAAGTTTTACAAGAAGGCTGTCAGGCATAATGACTGCTAGGTTCTATTATATCACTCCCAGAGGGTGGATCACACACACTACTCTGCAGCCTCTGGGTGGGTGTTATGGAATTTTGAAAAGAATTCACCTGCACAGAGAGGAGGTGAAGTGGGTGTAGGACCCAAGGGGGACTGCCTCCCAACAAGGAGACATCACCGGTGACACATGGTGACTGAGGGTAAATCTATGATCCAGGGCCTGGTCTTGAATTTTGGATATGCTGGAACCTAACCCTATTGGGACATTTTAACAAAATCATGCTCTTGGTGCTGAACAAAATTCAAGAAAGTTTGAAACCCAGCTGGTGTGGCTCAGTGGTTGAGCATCGNCTATTGGGACATTTTAACAAAATCATGCTCTTGGTGCTGAACAAAATTCAGGAAAGTTTGAAACCCANATGCTGGAACCTAACCCTATTGGGACATTTTAACAAAATCATGCTCTTGGTGCTGAACAAAATTCAAGAAAGTTTGAAACCCAGCTGGTGTGGCTCAGTGGTTGAGCATCAACCTATGAACCAGGAAGTCACAGTTCAATTCCCGGTCAGAGCACATGCCTCGATTTCGGGCTAGATCCCCGGTAGGGGGCGTGCAGGAGGCAGCCAGTCAGTGACTCTCATCATTGATGTTTCTCTCTCTCTCCCTCTCCTTTCCTGTCTCTGAAATAAATAAAAACATTTTTAAAAAAAATTCAGGAAAGTTTGAGCTATAAATAATAGTGTAAATTTATTAATTTACAATGAGAATATTCTCCTCTAGTGACTGGCCATTCATGTCTCCTTGTGTTCCAGCACCAAGACAGCTGCAAACCCCAGTTAAGAATCACGAGGCAGCCGTGTGAGGCTGGGTACAAGCCCGGGGTCTCAGCCTTGGCCGCACATCACAATCACCTGGGTGCTTTAAAGCTAGGGCCATACTCTGAAATCAAATAAATCTAAATCTCAGGGATTAGGACGCAGACAGCAATAGTTTTTAAATCTCCTCAAGTGATTCCAATGAGCAGCCAAGTCTGAGACCCACCAGGTTAGAGTAAAGGGGCCTTTAGGCCCCATCCTTTCCACACAGGGATCCATGCTCTTGCATGTTATAGACCAATGAGGTTTTGTTTTGTTTTTTTAAGTTGGAAACATATATAGGCTTGCCAATTTTTTAACGTGCCAAGCAAGGACATTAAAAATGAAATTACCATTATTTTATTAAAGAAAACAAATCTTAGCAACAAATACTAGGAAGGACATAATTTCAGGATAAAGAGTAACTCACGATGTTGTGTTTATCTTTCTCACTCTAAACTGATGCAGACTTAAGAATGAGTGTCATCTAATTGCTCTCTGCACCCACAGTCCGGGCTTCTCTTCCTGGACAGCGTAGACATCCAGTTAGGTTTTGGTCGGGGGTATAGCTCAGGGGTAGAGCATTTGACTGCAGTTAGGTTTTGGTTCATTAAACCACTGTCCTGTACTAACTGTCCCCTGCTCCCTTCCCCCTCTCCTTTCTGTAAAGGCATTAATAGAACTGATTAAGTTGTAGGTAATTTCTGTTCCCAGGCTTGGAAATGTTCTGTCTCTTCCAATTACAGAGTATGTTGATTTAATTAGAACTCTCCTTGGACATTTTAAATTAAGGTTTCTGGAATGGGCATGGCACATATACCCCCAGATAAATGCTGATGCCCCCCTGTTTTTAGTGGACAGTGATGACAATTAGTCTAAATCCAGTGAAGAATTCATTGGGAGGCCAAATACCCTGTGATGAGTTGTTTATTTTTGATCAACTTACATGAATAAAGACTTCCTTCCACCCTAACCCTAACTTTGAGTTCCTCCTTGGAATCTTGCGTATGCCCCATGGTTTTGGGCCATGGTTTGTGTTGCCCCCTCCGCCCCTGAAGGGATCTTGGGATTCTTGAATCAGTTCTACACTTGGTTGTCTATCATCTTGAACAAGACAGCCTCTGGCAAGAGAGGAGAACTGTGCCCCAAAGTCCAAGACTATACCTTAAGTTCCCCTCCGAGCACACACGGCCTAGAGATGCCTCTATGCTGCCAATGGTGTGAAATAAATCTTCATGTACTGACGTCTAAGCTGCGATCACAGTGGGACAAGAGAACAGAAGCTGGCATAAATGTGCTTATAACTAGCTGGGCAAGTTCTACTTGCAGACGATTCTGTTCTCCAGGCACCCAAGATGCGTAACTAACAGTGGCCTACTCGGTCCTCATTACTCCCAGTTCAACCAGACCCAACCTGAAGAGCTTGCCATCTCCTCAAGGTCATGGGCTACTTGGAATAGCACATAAACTTCAGAATTAGAAGGCCTGGAATTGCATTTAACTCCACTACTCTCTTGGGCAAGTTGCTTTATATCTCTGAGCTTTGGTTTCCTTATCTTTAGAATGGGGATATCATTGTCTTTACCACCCCCACATCCATCATCATCGTCATCTACTTTTTCGTATCACTTTATAGAGTAACTGTGAGAATTAAATAAGATAATTTAGGTAAAATACTTAGCAAGGTGCCAGACATTTGAAGTTTATACTAAACGTTAAAAACTTTTGTCTAAAAGTTAAGCACTCTGTGTAGGTCAGAGCCTAGCAGGATAATGTGGCACACAGTAGGTATACAGTAGGCACGCACNCTGTGTAGGTCAGAGCCTAGCAGGATAATGTGGCACACAGTAGGTATACAATAGGCATGCACTNCTAAAAGTTAAGCACTCTGTGTAGGTCAGAGCCTAGCAGGATAATGTGGCACACAGTAGGTATACAGTAGGCACGCACCCCCCAGGCCTGTATCTGCGTGCACGAGGAGGAATCTCATTGGAAATGCAGAATTACAAAGCTGTCACTGAATTCCCAACCTTAATGTTCAGATCTTCACAATTTAACCAAACTCACTCGCTACTTAACCTTGCTCATGACCTTGTCTTTTGTCTCCCAGAATTACTTCTGCTGGGACCCTTGCTTGTCTGTGGCAGATCCTTAGAGCCCTCCATCTGACCACAATCTCTGCTTCCCATGACCATGACCTTGTCTTCTTCACAGACTCTGGAACTTCTCGGACTCAGAATAGCATACCCTTGCTATTGTCCTGAAGCAGCCAAATGTTTGAAAGGAAAGCATTTAGAAACCTAGATATTTGCACCTGCATCTCCATATATATATATTTTGCCAGGAAACACCTGAATCAAATTCTGCATTGGTTCTAAACCATAGATTTGGGACAATAGGAGGACAAGCCCTGGTGGTTGGTGTAGGCACTTCATATCCTTGCAGGACCCAATTCAGTGCAATATTTTGTCCTGCTACAATTAACATTTTCCACAATCAGTTAATACCAATAAATAGACCCATGTCTTTTCTACCTCTTCTGCCCCCCCCCCAAAAAAAACCCCACAAAAATAAAAACACATCAGTATAGGAACTTCTCAAATTGCTGAAAATTTGCCATAGGAACCAAGCCTGTTTCTGAAAGTTTCAACTCACCCAATCAGACAAAAGGCTGAAGGAAGGGAGGCATTTATCAAGTTACAGGGAGGACTCCATCTGTTATCTTAGACCTTTGTTACCAAGAGACACAAGAAGAGATACTCAAGGCAGTTTGAAAGAGTTTTATTTTACAGATTCTTAGTCCAAAGATTTCAAATTAGAGAGAAGAGGAGGCGACCATGGAGAAACGCCACGTAAGTGTGATCCAGAAGCCTTTTTCCTGGCAGCCTGCTGGCGTTTGACCTGGCCGGAGCCTCCCGCCACGAAGCTGCCTTTTCAGCTGAGTTCCGTCCGTTCGGCTCTGTAATAAATGCAGTCACAGGGGCAGTCGCTTCTCGTCACCTGCAAAGGTCTTGCTTTTGAACCTCACGCTCACAGAAGCCACTTCTCACGATGCCAAGCCAACAGAAGAAAGTCATTTTTTGCATGGCCGGGTTGCTAAGCTTCCTGTGCGCCCTCGGAGTTGTGACAGCCCTGGGGACGCCGCTGTGGATCAAAGCCACCTTCCTCTGCAAAACGGGGGCCCTGCTAGTGAACGCGTCGGGGCGGGAGCTGGACAAGTTCATGGGGGAGATGCGGTACGGGCTCTTCCACGGCGAGGGCGTGCGGCAGTGCGGGCTCGGGGCGCGGCCCTTCCGCTTCTCGGGTAAGTGCAGCCGCGTTGGTTTTCCTAATGCCTTCGCACGCTCCTCCAAGTGTTGCAGGACGTTATTTTTAGGGGCCTTGCCCTGTCTATTGAAGGATTTTTTACACAGGTATAAGCCATTTGAAATACCTAGGACCCTCTGAGTAACCCCTTCTCCCTAGTGTTTATTATTTTGTGTTCATTTTATTGAGTATTGTATCCTTGCTATTTTTATTAGGACAACATAAGAGTTAATGAGATGCTCTGGAGTTAAACTTTTGGAAAAGATAAGAAATTAAAATCCTTCTTGAATACTAACATTTACATAAGGAGTTAGGGCGTCTTGTTAAAAAGGGAAGGATTTAGAGAAATAAAAAAAAGCTATAAGAGACGATTTTGGTTTTGTTCTTTTAAAAAGAGTCAGCCAATGCTGTGGGCTCCGTAGCCAACCCTCGCTGCTTTCTACCCTCTTCACGACTTTGTTTCCTATGCACTTCCCTGTCTCCCTTGCTAGGTCCTCTCCTGGTCATAAATATTTTTTTAAACCAATTTGGAATCACTTGGCTATAGAAATTTAAAGCATTTGGCTGTGCTAACTGGGAAAAAAATAGTTGCCTATTTAGTATCGAAAATTTGCAAGTGACTGACCTTCAAGTCAGGTAGAGAATGTGAGACAGATTTCCCGTCACAATTTTGTGAAATGGAAGTGTTAGCCTCAATATTTATAACCTGCTTATCTTAAGAAGAGAACTTTTAAAAAATTACCATGTGAATAGGCAACTCATTAAATGAAAATTAATAAGAAGTCATTTGTTGTATCTCTCACAACACACATTCAGAAATTATTATTTCAAAAGGGCTGGTTTGGAACAATCTCATGAAGACACAACCAGTAAATTAGTGCATAAATCACTCTTCAGGAAGGGAGGTTACCAACTGAGGCATTTAAAATGAATTATTATTTTGTCTGGGCATTTTTTTTTTTCCACTAGCATAGTTAGAAGGCTAAATTAATTGAATTTATTATTAACATATGCAGTGTCTAATTAAATTTTAGTGCTGGCCTATTTATATTTCTGCAACATTTCTTATACCTTCTTAGCAGTCACTGGACACCAACCTTCAACTCACATGGTGAGTTCATAAGTGATATAAATTTTCATAGGGTGCCAGAGATCCCCCAAGGATTAGTCTTCAGCTTTTCAAGAAATGATTATCCACAAGATTTTACAAACTCTTTTCACTGAAGGGCTTCAGTTTATTGAGGTAATGGGGCTGTTTGAGTTGCTTAGCTCTCACAGGGGGGTAGGGGTGGGGGNGAAGGGCTTCAGTTTATTGAGGTAATGGGGCTGTTTGAGTTGCTTAGCTCTCACAGGGGGGTAGGAGTGGGGGGAGAGACAAAGCAGAAAGTCATGTGATTCGCAATCCTATTACAAACTGAAAAAAAGGAAAGAGATGAGCCAGATGATTACCTTCGAGTCACTGGCAGCTTGAAGCATGACTAAAGCTTCTCAGAGACGAGTTTAGACAAAAGCAGGGAGCGTACAGTGAGTTTCCTGGAGTCTTTGCATTTTCAACAGAGAAATGTTTCAAAACAGTGACGTTTCCTGAATGCTTACTAGACACTGAGCACTGTGCACACTTTGTCGCATTTAATCCTCGCGGGCCACCTTCCTCTGTGGTTCAGTGAGAGGCGATTTATGGCCGGGTCCTGCGCTGGCCCGTCTGGGTGAAGCTGACCCAGCCAGACCCTCCCTTTGCTGTCGGTGAGGGCCCGCCGAGCTGCTGGGCCTAAGCAATGCCCCCCATCTCACAGAGCTGCATTAACCCCCAGCCGACGAAGATAATTTTACATTTGCTCGTTTGCTCTGTGGTGACGACCCTCTCCGTATGCCCTCCCAGACACGTTAAAACCCATTGATTTCTGAGGCCCAGTGATGTGTATTTACAGTATAACTTTTCCTGCCTAAGCAGAAAAGTATCGTTTGCAATGGAACATCAGAGAAAGTTGGGGAAACTGTAGAATAGACCCAATGGACCCCCCAACAGGCATAGTGCTCATTTCAATAAACACCCCCTCCGCGTTTTCAAAACTTCCCATCGATGTGCCTCAGGACACCCGCACCCAGATTGCACTCCCCTTGCAGTGCAGCTTCAGGGTCCACAGCTTCCCCCTTGAAATGCCAGCACCTGTCAAGGATGCTCTGTCAACATTCCCCTGAAGGGAGAGAGCCCTCTGATTTCCTTCCTGATGGAAAAACATAGCCCTGTTCACATAAAAGACTATGAGCCCCACCCTGACTGCCCAATAACGGCTTCCTTCGGGCAAAATTCAGAGCCACCGAAAAGCTCAGCAGGGATGATTCTTTTGTTTCTTCCAGTTCAACTGAAAATTAGATCACAACTCATCTCCCAGAACTTTCCTTTCTCCTTTCCCCTTTAAAGAATTATTAAGCAAACGTCTGGACTTGTGGAAACTTTCCAGTGTAGAAGGAGTGGAAAAGTTACCTCATCAAAGTATCGGTAACTTTGGCCAGTTTTCGTCACGGTGTCATAGTGTCATCAGTTACTAAGAATGTAGATTTCAGTTCTGTTGGACTGCTAAACGCTACCTGGTTTACCAAACTTTTCATTTAGATCAGCATTGGCCAACAGAAACATAATGCAAGCCATCCATATAAGCCACATCTATAATTTCAAATGTTCTAGTAGCCATAATAATAATAATAAAAAGGTAAAAGGAAACAAGTGAAATTAATTTTAATGACATATTTTCTGTAACCCAAGATGTCCAGAATACTGTCAATTTAACTGTTAGTGTAAAAAAGTAATGAGCTATTTTACTTTTTTTTTGGTGCTAAGTCTTTGAAGCCTGGTGTAGATGTTGTTCTTACCGCACATCTCAATTCAGACCAGGTGCAGTTCAAGTGCTCACTAGCCATTTCCATGTGGCTAATAGCTGTCATCCTGGAGACTGCAAATCTAGATGGGATTCACTCTGAATAAATTGGGCATTGATGGCGTCCATATTCTACATGAATTTTTGTTTGTTTCTCTACATGCTTATGTGTGTTATTTTTATGTGAATGTTAAGTGTAAATTTAAAACCCAGATACATGGTGTAACATGAGCATGAAGAATAGACCAGAAAAATTTAGGCAATGTTGTTCCTATTAAATGTTCCTATTGACTATCTCTTTTAATTATCACAAGAGTCTTCCCTGCCAGCATGCATGGCTATGCTGGGAAAACTTCTGCTTCGTTTACTCTGGCCAGTTGTCATCTGTTTATGGGTCAGTGGTTCATTTTCTAGGGGTCACTAGCACTCATACCAGCGCTCAATTTCATTCATTATAATGAAGAACTGTTTTCTCTTCAAGTCAACACAAATGGTGGGCTTAATTTATCCTGATATGTCACCTGCAAAATTTTAATGATGATTTTTAAACTCTAAATATGCCATCAAGACAAAAACTGCCAGTTCTGAGCTCAGTGTGTGTGGGTAGGTTTCTGTTTTAATGGTTTGAAACGCTGCAGAACATCGTCAAAATATGATACCCAGGAATCGTATGATATCAATCATTCCTAGATCTACTGATCTATTCATTGCCAAGACAGTTCAATGAGCTGGTAAAACATATGGAACCGTTTTGGTTTTTTTGGAAATGTGAAAAATAAAATTTAACCAATCATTTATCACAGCTTACAACTTTAGCCAAACAAAGTATTTTAATTTTCATGATTGAAAACTTATAAAAAGCTTAGTGGAGGTTTAGCTGCTTTCATATTTTAGATAAGCAGAGTTTCTTTACCAAATAAGCATATGGTCCAGACTGCACAAGGAATGTTGCAATTACTTCTGTGAGCAAGCAGGTGGCTTCTCAAACATATTTGGGGATAGAAGAGTTGGGATTCAGGATCTCTGTCACTCTGCCACTCTATCTCCATGGTCTCCTGCAAGTGTGACTGCTGTCTCCTGCTAACCCCACCTGCCTGCCCTAGGTGACCTCCTGGTCACCATCCTCACAGCTGCCAGGTCTTTGATGCACTTCCTTCTGATAACAGCGCCTGTCTCCCCTCCCTTCCTTAGTGCATGGCCTGTGTGGAAGCAGGCTGGTGGGGGCAGAATGGAAGCCCACAGAGTTCACCCGGGAAGGCTACCTGGTGGGAGGGATGGGGAAAGGAAGCAGCTTGCATCATTTCACCTCGAATGTGTGGGCCCTCCTGCCTTTTAGCTCAGGGCCCTAATGTCTGGCCTCACTCACCCATTAAAACAGTACAGCAAATAGAGATTTTGTGTTCCTCCCATTGGAAAAATAAAAGTGATTAGCGGAGTAGAAGAGAGAAATGTTTAAGAAGCACTAGTGTAACGGAAAAACCTTCCATTCCTCTCAGCCAAATAACTCTTTCCTCCTCTGTCCTTTGCAGTCCTCGATGTTCACTGCACTATTTCAAATCACTTGTTTTATAAGTGTTTGAGAATGTGTGTTCTCTGCAAGGAGATGCTGGGCCCAAGAAGGAGGGGGCTGTGTAATATTCGTGCTGGTGCTTCGTCAAACAGGACCTAGCACAGTTCACACACACAGGTGCTTAGTAAATGTCTGGTCAACGGGCACTACTGAGAGTAAGCAGCTGGGCTTGAGGCCGGCCTCTGCATCGCACTGTGGACTCGGCCTTGAGCAAACTGCGTCACTTCATTGGTTTCCAGTTCTTGCATCTGAAAAGTGGAAGGTGATGTTAGGTGATTTCTAACATCTCTTCCAGGTCAAACTCTCTATGATCCATGTAATGTGGAACTGGTTGCTCTAGAAAAGGTCCTTCCGGCTTTAAAAATGCACGACCCTTCTGTCCCCACCTCGTAAAGCCTTCCTAGCAGACGCAGCCCATCGTCGGGAGAGCAGGCTTTGTGCGCCTTTGTCTTTGGGCCTCAAAGCCCGTGGTTCTTGAGTGTCCTGAAATACCCGCCGCTTGTCAGCGCCAAAGCGAGTTTCACTGCCCAAGCGAACGCTTCGTTCCCGGTC